GGTTGGTTCCACTGTTTGGCTATTGTGAATTGTGCTATTATAAACATTAATGTGGCTGTGTCCCTGTAGTATGCTGTTTTAAAGTCCTTTGGGTATAGACCAAGGAGTGGGATAGCTGGGTCAAATGGTGGTTCTATTCTAAGTTTTTTAAGGAATCTCCATACTACTTTCCAGATTGGTTGCACCAACTTGCAGTCCTACCAGCAATGTTTGAGTGTGCCTTTTCCCCCACATCCTCGCCAGCACTTATTTCATTTCACTTTCTTGATGGTATCCTTTAAAGCACATTTAAGGTTTTTTCCTTAGATGAAGTCTAATTTGCCCTTTTTTTCCTTTTCTTATGCTTTTTTAAAAAATATTTATTTTTTAGTTTCAGGTGGACACAATATCTTTATTTTATATTTATGTGGTACAGAGGATCAAACCCAGTGCCTCATGCATGCTAGAAGAGCACTCTACCACTGAACTACAACCCCAGCCCCTCTTTGCTTATGCTTTTGATGTCATATCTAAGTAACCATTGCCTAATCCAAGATCATAAAAGATTTATTCCTGTTTTCTTCTAATAATTTTGTAGTATTAACTCTTACATTTATATCTATGGTCCATTTTGAATTAATCTTGTTGTGAGATAAGGTTATAACTTCATTTGTTTTGCACATGGATAATCTAGCATGGTATCCTAGCACTTTTTGATAAGACTTTTTCCCACTATCATGGCACCATAGTCAAATCAATTAGCCATAAATGAAAGGGTTTATTTCCAGACTCTCAGCTGAGTTGCTTTGATCTATATGTTTAACCTTATTCCAGTCTTGATGTCTCTAGCTTTGCAGAAAGTTTGGAAACCAGAAAATATGAGTCCTCCAAACCTGGTCTTTTTCAAGACTGTTTCTGCTATTTTGAGTCCCTTGAATTCCCATCTGAATCTTAGGATTTGCTTATGAATAACTGAAAAAGAATCCATCCATGATTTTTAGGATCATGTTGAATCTGTAGATGAATTTGGGGAGTTTTGCCACCTTAACAGTATTGAATCTTCCAACTTATGACAATGGAGTACCTTTACATTTATTTAGGTCTTCTTTACATTCTTTCAACATTTTTTTGTAGTTTTTGGAGTATAAGTCTTACATTTATTTTTTGTAACTTGTTCCTAAGTATTTGATTCTTTTGATACTATTGCAAATAGAATTGTTTTCTTAAGTTGACTTCTACATTATTCATTGCTACTATAGAAATATAGTTGGTTTTTGTATATATCCTGCAACATTGCTGAGTTTATTAATTTTCCAGTCTTTCCTCTTTAGGATTTTCCCATATACAAGACCATGTCATCTGTGAATATAAATATTTTATTTCTTCTGTTCCAATAAAAATGACTTTTATTTATTTTCTTCCCTAATTGCTCTAGTTAGAACTTCTAGTAAATTATTTAATAGAAATGGTAAGAGGAGAAATCCTTGTCTTGATATGAACTTAGAGGGGAAAGCATTCAGTCTTCTACCATTAAATATAATGTTAGCTATAAAGTTTTTCAGAGATGGTCTCTACCAAATTAAGGAAGTTCCCTTCTGTTCCTATTTTATCATGAAAAAAATGTTGATTCATCAAGTGTTTTTCTGAATCTATATAACTGATCATATGTTTTTGTCTTTTATTCTATTTTGATTTTTATATGTTAAACCAACCTTGAATTCTTGGGACAAATTCCACTCCATTATGCATATTAATTCTTTTCATATGTTGATATATTCCATTTGTTAATATCTTATCTAGAAATTTTATATCAATCTTCATAAAACTATAGGTTCTTTTCTTGTGATGTGTTTGGTTTTGGAATCAGGTTACTGACCTCATAAAATGAGTAATAATAATAATTTTTATTCCTCTTTCATATTTTAAGTTTGTGGAAGCTTGGTATTGATTTTTCTGTAAGCATTTAGTAAAATTCACCAGTGAAGTTATATAAGCCTGGTCTTTTCTTTGTGGGTAGTTTTTGATTACTTATTAAATCTCTTTAACTAGTTATAGGCTTATTTCTATTTCTGTTTCTTTTTTTAAATTTTTTTTATTTGTAGATGGACACAATATCTGTATTTTTATTTGTTTATTTTTATATGGTGCTGGGGACCGAATCCAGGGCCTCAGGCATGTAAGGCAAGCATTCTACCACTGAGCTACAACCCCCATCTATTTCTATTTCTTCTTGAGTCAGCTTCATTACTTTGTATCTTCTTAGGAATTTGTCCATTTCATCTAGGTCATCCTTTTTATTTTTCTAAGGCCAGTAGTGATATCCTATTTTATTCCTGATTTTAGACACTTGGGTGTTCTCTTTTTTCCCCACCTCAGTCATATAACTAAAGATTTGCTAATCTATTGATTTTACAAAGAACCAACTTTTGGTTTCACTGATTTTCTCTCGTTTTTCTATTTCATTTATTTATGCTGTAATTTTTATTATTCCCTCACACTGCTTGCTTTGAGTTAACTTGGCTTTTTTTCCCCTAGTTTCTTAAGGTGGTAGGTTAGCTTATTGATTTGAGATCTTTCTTCCTTTGATTGTTTTCTTTTAAAAAATTTTTTATAGTTATAGATGGACAGTATGCCTTTATTTTATTTGTTTATTTTTATGTGGTGTTGAGGATCAAACCCAGTGCCTCATGCATGCTAGGCAAGCACTTGCCACTGAGCTACAGCCCCAACTCCTGTTTTCTTTTTTTTAAGAGTCCTGATGTCAAGCAATCCTCCTGGCTCAGCCTCCCAAGAAGCTGAGACTACAGGTGGCTGACACTATATCCAGCTATTTCTTTTTTTTAATACTGATATTTACAATTATAAATTTCCTTCCTGGTTTAGATATATCCCATCAGTTTTGCTATGCTGGTGTTTTTTTTTTTTTTTCCATTTTCATTCATCTCCAAATGTTTTCTAGAATTTATTTATTTGAATAAAATATTTTATTTAATTCAATACATCCAAAATAGTAACATTTCAATAGGTTATAAATACAAAAATATCAAGGAAATATTTTCCATTCTTTTTTCACATTAGTTCCCTGAAATTCAGTATTTTTTAAAGACAAATATGTTTGTTTTTTTAATACCTTTATTTTGTTTGTTTATTTTTATGTAGTGCTGAGGATTGAACCCAGTGCCTCACACGTGTGAGGCAAGCACTCTACTGCTGAGCCACAATCCCAGCCCCTGGAATTCAGTATTTTAAACTAAAGAATTCATCTCAATTCAGATCCTAAGTTTTCATCAGAGCTATTTTATTTGTATTTAGAGTCCATGAAATTTGTAGATAAAAAATAAACCCAAGTTTTTCCAGACATACTACTAAAAATTTTTCAATAACTGAATCAAGTATCAGTTTTTAAATGTAAATTAATAAAACTTAAAATCTAATTCCTCAGTTAAACTATCCACATTTCAAGTGCTTGATAGCCACTGTATTGGACAGTGCAGCTCAGAAACTCTTCCACCATTTTTAATCCACACAATACTCCTAAGAAATAGTTATTCTTTTTTTTAAATATTTACTTATTTATTTTAGTTTTAGGTGGACACAATATCTTTGTTTTATTTTATATGGTGCTGAGAAATGAACCCAGTGCCTCACACATGCTAAGCAAGTGCGCTACCACTTGAGCTATATCTCCAGCCCCGGAAATAGGTATTCTTATTTCCCATCTTGCAATTGGTGAGCTCAAGGAACTTTCCCAAGTTTCACAACCAGACAGGGGATAAACCAATGTGTTCCATCTTGTCACTGGGAAATGGGCCTTGGTAATTAACTGTATTATTGGGGTCACAAAAATTGCACCCAAAGCTGGTTGGTCTTTGACACAGAACTACAGAACATATTCCTAAGCTTTCCGTAATTTTTTACCCCACAGAGAAAGATGGACCCAGAAGCCTTGGCATTAGTACTAATGAGCAGAAGAAGACTGAGGCCAGTTCCCCACCATCTCTGTTATTTTTCTGAATATCCTAATCTAACAGATGCCAATTAGGAAAAATGGTCAGAAGGAGCAAAGCACAGCCCTACAGATGCATCAAACCACTTCCCATCTTCTACATTGAAATTCTTTCCCTTCTTGAAATGAGTTGTAGAGAAACACCTCATGTTTGTCCAATGGAATGGAAAATCACAGAAATTTATTTAACTACCATCCAGGAACTTTGCCTGGGACTTTATGTACATGTCACACCAAGAACACTCCTCAGGGGACAAATGAAAGTGTAATACGTTTATTCAATGGAGTATCACATGGCCCTTAAAAAGAATGGGGAAAGATGTCTACTCTGTATTGTTGAATTTAAGTAAGTAAGCTTAAGCCAGGCATGGTGGCACATGCGTATAATCCCCATTACTTGGGAGGCTAAAGCAGGAAGATTGCAAGTTCAAGGTGAGCTTCAGCAATTTAGTGAGATCCTGTCTCAAAATTACAAAACAAAAAAATTTAAAAGGCTGGAGATATAGCTCTGTGATAGGGGTAGAATACCCCTGGATTTAGTCCCCAATACCACCTCTGCAAAAAAAAAAAAAAAAAAAGGAAGCTCAAATCCAAGATACATTATATGATCCCTTGTATATTTATAGGTTTGTGTATCATGCCATGTTGCTCATAGAGAGCTCTCAGTGTGGAATGGGAAGAACTTCTATACTGTGTATTTGATACACATTTAGAATATGTAACCTTTTGAACTTTAAAAAAATTAATCTTAAAGATATTTTTAAAGAAAAAAGTTATTGTCTCATTTAATCTTCAAATAATACTTAAAAAGATACAACTATCCACAAATTACAGATGGAAAAACTGAGGCTCAAGAAGTTGACATGACTAGTCTTCTCTAGGCTCCAGAACTAGAAAATAGGGGAGCCAGAAAGGGAAACCAGGATTATCTATTAACAGAGCTCTCAGCGATGGGATGGGAGTACATCAGAGGCTCAAGAACTGGGCTCCCACCTACCACATCCCTAGAACTTACCTTGAGGTCTAGGTGCAGAATGTAGTGCTGGTGGAGGTAATGCACACCCTCGCAGATCTGCTTGATGAACAAGACCACGTCCAGTTCAGTCAGATGGTACTTTTCATCTGTGATCCGGTCAAAGAGTTCACCCCCATCCACACTAGCAGAGGAAAGGGAGAGGCAGGCAGGTAAATGAACAAAGCTCTCATAGGATTTGCCCACTTTTTTGCCAAGGACCAAAAGACAATGGCCTAGGAGAACTCAAAGTTGGCTGTATCCCATGGATCACAGGGCTACTGCCACTGCCATCTGAGTTTTCTGGAATACCTGTGTTCTAGCCCATTCCTAGTAAAAAGTATGGGATGGTCTTCCAGATTGATAATCCCTGACTCTGAATAATCTAAATCAGGGCTGCAAACTCTTCTACTTAGTGGGGAGCCAACTAGTACCTAAGTGGCAAGAAGACTTAATGGGCAAATTTGACCATATGTGAGATAAAAGTTTTATGAAAACACACAATCCTTAGTCTTTTATTTTTCTTTTGAGAGAGACACGATATAACAAATGATTTGCTCTCCTCAGCCCTGCTGAAAGCAAAACAACAACATGAGCCTAATCCTAAATGGCCTCTGAGACCACAACTTCAATGCCCAGGGTAGTGGGAAATGGTAGGCATTGTGGCAAATCCTGTCCACAAATGGCAGTCACTGAGAGCTCCAGCTCACCGTTTCCAGCAAGGAATGCATTACTAGACTCTTTTCGTTTTCAAGAAAAGCCAGATATCTAGATTTTCCAATTTCTATTACCTAAATTTCCCAAAGTAAATAATTCATTCAAAATCACCAAAAACTCTTTAGGCCAAACTGACAAAATATCTGCAAGTTAAATCAGGCTCAGTAGCCACTTGTTTGTAACAAAATGGCTTTGTCCTCCACGCCCCACTTGGGATTCAAGTAGCCAAGCCAGAAAAAAGGGGGATTGCATGGTCGTCTGTGTCCCAGTGAGGGGAGGAGAGACAAAGAGCCTTGCTTAGAATGAACAAAGGCTCTGAGTTCCAACCTTGCACCTAACCTGAGGAGAAGCCACTGCCCCGTGTCTATGACACTTACTACTCCATGACCAGGGTAAAGCTGTTCTTGCTCTCAAAGGCATCATAGAGTTGGATTAAGTTCACATGGCTGAGCTGGTTCATGATGTTGATCTCATTCTTCACATCCTCCTTGTGGAACCAGAGGAGAAAGAATTTACAAGCAAATAAGTCAGGAAGAGGAGACAGTTGTACCTCCCAAGACAGACAGACACACAGACAGACATATACCCCTCATCCTTTTTGAAAAATATCCTATTGTCACCCCAGATCTCCTTGCCTCACCATCCAAACCAGGGTTTTGCAACAGGAAGGACCTTAATTTATTCACCCATTTCAAAAGATACTAAACCCAAGGCCCAAGAATTAATGAGCCTTATTGCCCAGGGTCCCACAGGCCTCTTGGCAGAAGCCATGCCACGACACCCACATGTAGGCAGGTGTGTCTGGACTGAGGAGTGTGAGGTGACCTGCTGGGGAATATAGGAGTCATAAGAAAAAGGCAGGAAAGGCAGCAGCTTCTCTGTTCAGTATGGAGGGGCAATGTGGGTGCAGGGGGCTGTGAAGGAAGTGAGGGAGTCCTAAGCTTGGCTAGAAGGATCTGCTGGCTCAGGGCAGATGCCTCACCCGGTCTTTAGCATTCTTCACTTTGATGATCTTGGCGGCCAGTGGGAGATCTGTGGACTTCTCTGTGCACTTGTGAACCTGGCCAAACCGGCCCCTACAGAAACATGAACACAGCAGGCTGAGAGTACAAGAAGCTCACCCCATACGTGGTAGGCCACCTGTCCCCTGAGCTTCCTGGTCCTACTCCTTCCTCCACACACACACCATTTGCACTATCCTAGTCATAGGCCCCACACCACATGGGCTACCCTGACATCTAGAAAATGACCTCATGACCCCCACTATATGGTCTACACTACACCCTAAGGGAAAACCTCCCTGCACCCCAGGGAACATGCCTCTCACCACTCCATACCACAAGAGCTATCCTGCACCAAAGAGAGTATACTCACTGCACCTATGTTGGATCTCCTTCCAACTCCAAGATGCTCCCATATCGTACCACATGGGTCCCCCTGCACTTCCCCTCATCTATACCATGTGGGCATCCTGCACTCTAGGGATAGTCTCTTCACCCCATTCTCATGCTCTAAAGGATATCCCATTCCTGGCTTTGGTTCAATTAACCAGTTCCTGAGAATTACCTAGCAGTACCCCAGCTCATTCTCCAAGTGGTTCTGCCCTGCTATTCCTCCTCCCACCCCTTATCAAAGCAGACAGCCCACCTACCCTCCCAAGACTTCATGCTGGCACACCGTGTAACCTGCTGAGATCGAGGTCTCCTTGACACTCACCACCCGGTGTTCAAAAGGTGCTGGTGGAGCTGGGCTGTCATCTGTTTAGGAAACAAGAGACCTGTGAGTTTCCTATATGCAGCCACCCATCCCAGACCCACTTAATTACATTTGGTTTACCAGGTGACAAGCCCTTTGCCTTTCCTATAACCCAAGGATTTGAAAGCCCCTTCTCAAGAATAATCTCACTGGAGCCACCCATTTGGCAGAGGAGGAAGCTGAGTCTCAAAGAGGTGAGGGGACTGGTCCAAGATTACACAGGGTAACAGTGATAGGAGGCAAACTCAAGTCTCCTGGCCACTAGGACAGTGCTGTTTGCAAGGTCAAGACATTTTGGCAGCCTTCTCATGAGGTCTAGAAGGGGAATCCTGGATGGGTTAGTGCAAGCCTGCAGGAAACAGTGCATACTGGAAAGGTTGAGCTTGCAGAGTTTAAGGAGGAGACTATTTTTAAAGCAAAAGAGGGCTACAGAGATCAGAAAAGGTGGTACGATAGGGAGGCAGCTGTAGAAATAAACACCCCATCCTTTCTCTTCTCTCACCTTCAGCTGATCCTAACCAAAGGCCAGACAGCCTGCAATGGAGCCCATAAGAGGCAGCTCCAAGGGCACAGGTGGATCTGGAGGAGAAATAAAGGATAGCCTATACTTGGAAAGATCAAAACTAATGACTTAGGGTTTTCTTGTCCTTCAGAGGTGACAGGAATACCTAGAAATGTTTCATGAAATAGAGTAAAGAAATAAAACAGAATCCAGAATATACATCAAACACAATAACATAAACCAGTTTGTACATGAAGGGCTGGAAGATGCTGAGGCAGGAGGTCAGGGGCTTGGGTTGGCATTTGTTTAGAGCTTGTCATAGGAGAATGCTGCTGGTTCTCTGGCTGCAGGGATCACTCACAATATTCCACAAACTCTGACAAAGGAAGATGATCCCAGAGATGGAGGGGTTTAGAGCCTCGGGGTCACAAGAACACAAGGATGCCTCTCACCACCCTGGGATGGTAAGCAGGTGAGCAGTCCTAATACCTCCTCCTTGTCCTGAAGAAAATCAGCTTCCTGGTCACAAATGGCCAATGATTGTTATATGTACCAGTTAATGTCATCTTTTTTTTTTTTTTTGACAGGAGTCTTCCCTGTCTCAAACCAAAGTAATACCAATGGTGAAAGCTCAGGCAGCAGGTGGTTTTGAGAAATATACCAAGATGGGCCACATGGGTCCCTCCTACCCTAATACCAAGCTGATCAGAGTTTTCAGTCTTTCTGTCTCTGTGCCTTGGTGTCCAACCCCAGGATGGATAAGTAGGCTGTTCTCAAGTCTTGGACTCTCCCAGACCTGCTTAACCAACCCTGAAAGCTGCAGAAAGCAGCCCCAGGAATATAACCTCCCAATCCACTCACTTCTGGCCTTGTGTCAAGTCAGGCAGCAGCCTCACTTACCCAGAATTAGGCTGCCAGCCCCATCATCTGGGGGTGTCCTCCTTCCTGTTTCAGTTCTTGGAGTGACCCCAGCTGCACAGTCATTCCCAGGCTCAGGATGTCCTGCTCCTAAGCTTTTGTCCTGCTGCAGGGCTGAGGTCCCAGCAGGGTCATCTCCCTTGTCCCTCCTGGTGAAGCTTGATCCGGTGGCAGGCTCAGCCACAGGCCCTTGCTTCTCCTCATCATCTGCTCCCGCCTCGCTGCTTCTCTTCTGCAGTGGGGTAAACTCTTTGGCTTCTTTGGGGTTTTGTTCTCCCAGCTCAGTCTCAGGAGCTTCAGAGCAGCACCTGGGCCCAGGCAAGTCCTGCTCACTGGGATAAGCAGCTGCTGGAACCTCTATAGGGGGAGTGGGTCTGAGGCTGCCCCCTCGTGTCACAAGAAGTTCCCCGGGAGTATCCATCTCTTGCACGTGGATGGAGATTCTGAAGCAGAGAGAAATATGGCCCTGAGATTAAAAGCAAAGACTCCATAGTTAGTACAAACCTGGGTTCAAAGGCCTACTGCTACCACTTACTGACAGTGGCCTCTTGGCTTCAATTTTATCATCTGTAAAATTAGAAATTTAGGGCTTGTGGTGGGAGACTCCAACTCCTGCCTCCTTGGAGACCTGACCACCACTGCCCAGACAGGACATCAGGAGAAATAAAAGTAGAATTACTCTATGTTCCAGCAGTTCCACTTTGGGGTATATATCCAAAAGAATTGAAGCCCATATTTATAGCAATTTTATTCACAACAATCAAGAAGTGGAACAACCCAAATGTCCACTGATGGGTCAAAGGATAAACAAAATGTGGGAAAGACAAACAGTGGAATATTATTCAGCCTTTTAAAAAGGAAGGAAATTCTGACACCTGGTACAAAACAAATGAACCTTGAGGATAATATATGAAGTAAAATAAGCCAGTCACACAAGGACAAATAATGCATGATGTCATTGATATGAGATTAAAAAGAGTAGTCAAGTATATAGAGATAGGAAGTAGAAGAGCAGTTGCCAGGGGCAGGGGGAATGGGAGTGGGAAATGGGGAGTTGTTTAATGGGTACAGAACTTCAGTTTGCAAGAAGGAAATGTTCTGGAGATCTATTTCCCAACTCTGTGAACACATACAACACTATGGAACTGTTCACTTAAAATTAGTCAAGATGGGCTGGGAGAGTAGCTCAGTGTTAGAGCACCTGACTGGCATGTGCAAGGATCTGGGTTCCATTCCCAACACTGGGGGAAAAAAAGTTAAAATGGTAAAATTTTTGGTATGTATTTTTCTCACAATGAAAAATAAATAATGAGGCCTTTCTCTAGCAACTGCTGGCCTACCTCCACTGAGCTGCTGGTCCTCTGAGGGCAGTGCCTGACCTGGGTGGGTTGTCTGAGAAACTTGGCAGCCTGTTCATAGTGAAGCACTGGGCAGGAGGAATAGAAATCCTTCCAAAACTATGCCCTGTGGGACTATGTGTGGGTCAGTGATGAAGGGTAGGTTGGGAAGGATGGCATCTAAGCTAAGCCACCCCAAACCTAGCCTAGGTCAAGGGACATGGGAACCTGTGACTTGTCAGTTGCAAGAGGAGTATCCAGGTAGTCAGTCGACAAGGTCAGCAATCACCACTCCCTCTTATGTCTTCCCTGACAGAAGGACAGAGGATGACCCTAAAACCACTGCCATGCAGTGCCAGGTCATTTTGAGTGTCCCAAACTTTCTCATCTACTGTCTGGCACACCCATGGCAGGCATTTTTAATTAACTGCAATATTCTGTACCACCAAGTTCAGATACTGCCTCAGGATGTACTGCATGCACGACTACAGAGCAGCCCCTACAAATCACAGTTGATGCGTGACTTCCAATCTATTGTCCTCAAAATATATTCTTGTGCTAGGGGAAGAAGGACAGGTAGTGACCTCCCCACTACCTGAGACCCGCTGTAAATCCAGTATGCTTGAAGTTCAGCTCGGGGCTGAAACTGAGATACAGATCTTTTCTTCTCACTCAGAATGGCTTTGGGCCTCTACCGAGTTCATGGAAAGTTCACCCCCAGCCCTAGATACCATATTTATGGCCCTGGCCTGAATCCAAGAATGCCTGCCTGGAATCCCTCCCTGGGGCTGTCAGGTCTCCTGGGAGGCTCCCATTTCCTTCCAGAACAAAAGCAGACAAATGATCTGGACTTCTCTGCCAGTCACCACAGCAAACACAAACCAGGCTTCCTCCAGGTTTGTGGTCAGGCCTTGGGGTCTCAGTTTTAGGTCAGGGCAGCCCAGGGCAATCACAAAGGGATGAAGTTCATCTGAGAGAAACTTGCAATGCCCAGAAGAGGCTGCTTGGGGATGTGAATGTGCCATCCCACAAAGATGACAAATACAGGCCTGGGGACAGGGGTTGGGAGTCAGCAGGTTCTTCATTCTCCCACACTGTCTGCTGAGCATGGTCAGAGGCCATGTTCTAAGGGTCAGGGTGGCTGCCATAACTCCACTTCCAGAACCCCTACCACAATCCTCCTGAAAGCCTCTGGGTTGACAGCCTGCTTTGATAGATTTTTCAACATTTGAAAAGATAGATAGACTTTTCAACATTTGTTAATGGTGCTGCCAAAACTGGAAATCCATACGTAACAAAATTAAATTAAACCTCTCTCTCTCACCCTGTACAAAACTCAACTCAAAGTGATCAAGGACCTAGTTATTAGACCAGACTCTGCAACTACTAGAAGAAAATGTAGGCCCAAATCTCCATTATGTCAGCTTAGGAAGTGAAATCCTCAACGATACTCCTAAAGTGCAAGAAGTAAAATCAAGAAATCAATAAATGTGATGGTATCAAAATAAAAAGCTTCTCAATAGCAAAGGAAACAATCAAGAACATGAAGATAGAACCTACAGAATGGGAGAAAATCTTTGCCACCTGTACCTCAGAGCATTAATCTCCAGGACATATAAAGAACTCAAGCCAGCGGCTCTGGAGGCTGAAGCAGGAGGATTGAGAGTTCAAAGCCAACCTCAGCAAAAGCAAGGTGCTAAGTAACTCAGGGAGACTCTGTCTCTAAATAAAATACAAAATAGGGCTGGGGATGTGGCTCAGTGGTCAAGTACCCCTAAGTTCAATCCCCGGTACCCAAAAAAAAAAAAGAACTCAAAAAAACCTAACACCAAAGAAACAAATAACTCAATTAATAAATGGGCAAAGGAACTCAATAGGCACTTCACAGAAGAAGAAATACGATCAGTTAATATATGAAAAAAATGTTAAACATCCCCAGCAATTAGAGAAATGCAAATTAAAACTACATTGAGATTTAATCTCACTCCAGTCAGAATAGCCAACAATAAATGTTGGCAAGGATGTGGGGGAAAAGGTACACTCATACATTGCTGGTGGGACTGCAAATTGGTGCAACCGCTTTGGAAAGTAGTATGGAGATTCCTCAGAAAACTTGGAATGGAACCACCATTTGACCCAGTTATCCCACTCCTTGGTAGATACCCAAAGGACTTGAAATCAGCATACTACAGTGACACAGCCACTTCAATGTTTATAGCAGCTCAGTTCACAACAGCTAAGCTATGGAACCAACCTAGGTGCCCTTAAACAGATGAATGGATAAAGAATGTCACACACACACACACACACACACAGGAATATTACTCAGCCATAAAGAAGAATGAAATTATGGCATTTGTCGGTAAATGGATGGATCTGGAGACTATCGTGCTAAGTGAAATAAGCCAATCCAAAAAAATACAAAGCCGAAAGTTCTTTCTGATATGTAGATGTTAACACACAATAAGGAAGGGGAGAGAGGAATAGAAGTTCACCGGATTAGACAAAGAAGACTGAAAGGAAGGGAGGGAGTGGGAACAGGAAAGACAGAATGAACTGGACTTAACTTTCATATGTTCGTATATGAATACACAACTAGTTTAACTCCACATCATGTACAACCACAAGAATGGGATCCTAGTTAGAATAAGTAATGCTCTGTGTATGAATAATATATAAAAGAAAAAACACTCTACTGTCATGTATAGCTAAAAAGAACAAATTAAAACAAAAACTATGCCTAAGACTCATTCCAGAATCATTGACTCAGAATTTCTGGGCATTGGTATTTTTTAAATCTCCAGATAACTATAGGGGGCAGCAGGTGACAACCAGTGCTTTAATCTTCCAAAAACCACAGGGTCTTCCCCTCAGCAAGCTAGTCTAGCTCTAGGCATACAGTGGTCATTCAGCATGTGTCACTGGCCCATTGCCATGCTGCCACTGAGGGACTGTAGTTAATTCTACCCGCTGCCCAGCACAGAAGAGCAACCCTTACCTTAGCGGAGATTCTCCACCACTGTGAGCTGCCCTGGAGAGAGCTGGTGCCCTTGGGGGCTCAGAACCGGGCCCTGAAATCAACCATAAGACTTCTTCTGAGGACTGAGGATCAAGCTTGCTGGATGATGTTCCTTGTCCTGTACTTGGTGTCACATCCTGGCTGGTGGGGGCCTTGGTGACCCTGTTAGATGCTGCAGACAATTCCAGGTGAGTCCCAGGGTTCTCACTGGATGTCTCAGGATCTTTGGCTTCAACCTCTGTGGGCAGCAGCAAGTGGCCAAGAGGTACCTGGCCTGGGCCAGGAACCCCATCCACTTGCCCAGGTGAGGCCCCTGCCTGGGAGACGAGGTCAGTACCCATTCCTGAAGTGCTGAAGGAGGGCAGCCTCTCCACTGTCCTCTCTGACAGGTCGGCCTTCTGGCTCTCTACAGGAAAACAGGCAGGGTAAAGATATAGTCCCATTTGGAGGTGTCTGTCACAAAAGACACTGCAAAGTATGTGCACCAGGCCATTCAGTTTAGCCGAAGGCTGGAGATAAAGACCATCAGGAGGTTGTGTGAACCATGGAACATCCACACAATGGAGTGTTGCACCAAAAAAAAAAAAGCTAGAGAGTAATCTCAGGATGTTCTGAAAGTAAAAAGAAGCAAGGTGGAGAACAGTGTGTAGGGAAGCCTCTTTACCTAAGGGAGAATGTGTTTGTGTGTGGGTGATTGTGTGTGTGTGTGTGTGTGTGTGTATGTGCGCACTTGCAATGTGGTCTAAGTAAACCAGAGTTCAAAAGAAAAAAAGATTTTTAAAAAATATTTATTTAGTTAGTTAGTTAGTTGTAGTTGGACACAATACTTTATTTTATTTATTTATTTCTATGTGGTGCTGAGGATCGAGCCCAGGGCTTCGCACATGCCAGGTGAGCACTCTACCACCAAGCCACAACCCCAGCCCGAGATAAAAGATCTTTAAACGATTATGTATAGAGAGAGAAAACAATGTTTAAGAACAAAAGTAAAACCAAACTCCTCTCAATATACCTTGTTTTGTTGATTTGACTTTGAAACCATGTAAATATTATGGGATTTTCTAAAGAAAATTGAACTTTTAAAAAAGCAATCCATAAAAATTTAATGCAAAATGAAATTTTTAAAACGTGATTATCAAGTTGGTGGTATAGTACACAGATAGGAGTGATTTCAAGGGATTTCATTTTTAAGAAGTGATTTCATTTTTATTTTGCTTGTTTTGCCCAGTCTGATCCCAAACTTCTGGGCACAAGCCTCTCCTTCTGCCTCAGCTACCAAAGTAGCTGGGACAACAGGCAAGTGCCACCACACCCAGCTCCAAGTCAAAACATTACAATTGAGCTGGGCGTGGTAGCACACACCTATACACCCAGGGTCTGGGTAGGCTGAAGCAGGAGGATAGCAAGTTCAAGACCCTAAGCAACTTGGCAAGACACTGTTTCAAAATAAAAAGATAAAAAATAACCTGGGGACATGTGAATGTGGATCTGTGGTTGAACATCCCTGGCACCAAAAGAAATAAAACCTATTTCAATTGACTATATCCATCTGTAGTGGGATATATATGTGTGTGTATATAATTTATATATATATATATATATATATATATATGACAAAGAACTGTGCATAAGACAAAACAGCTTCGACAGTTTCTCAGTAATCACAATGTGAGTGATACTGTCAATATTTTCATTATGAACGCACTGTGTGTTCAATGTGGGAGGAAGCAAATGGGCCCACTTACCTTCCCAAGGCCCCCTGATGTCAGCTTGCACACCCCTGGTACTCAACGCATGCTTTGGTTTTGTTCCCTTCTCTTCCACTTGCTCTTTGTTCTAAAATAATAATCATAAAAACCATCATCTTTATCATCAACATCCTCTTTCAGGCCACAAACTTTTATTAACCACCTACCACATACTTAAGATAAAGTACAAGGTACTAAGGTTATTTGGCATAGTCTCACAGTAATCTTAGAATACTGCTTATCATCATTTTAGAGATAAGACACTGAAGCCTTCCCAAGGTCATGAAATTTAAAAGAGGAGGAGCTTAGTTTCAAATCCAGAACTGAAGTCTTTTTTTAAGACTTCGCTATATTGCTAGTGGGGGGTGGGCCCAACCCCCAACCCTTGGCCGAGGGTTTTAAATAGACCAAACCTCAAAGGACTTAGACCAAGGATAGAAACAAACTTAAAACATCAATTCAGATCAATTGTTTCTGGCTAGTACACTGTTGGTTTAGATTGGGTTCTAAAGTCAAACCCATGCTTAGTAGGGAGGAAGCACCACAGTGAATCTGCCTGGGAATTCCATGGTCATCCCCATCCCCCTCTCTAGGAGCAAGAACACAGACTCTCAAGGTAGCTTTGCTGGATTTGAACCCCATCTTCACCACTTGGCTGTGCTCCTTGACTTCTCTGCATCTCACTTTTCTCATCTGCAAAATGGGGATATTATCTGCTTCAGAGAGTCAGGGAGGATTAGGAGAGTTAATTTGTGGAATATTGGAGAAGTGTAATCAATACATAGCATTGCTCAGTAGTTCTAGTGATTCCATCCTGCCTGAGCCAAAAGCCATCATGTCAAATGACACATTGAATAAGGATAGTTGGTCCTGGCCCAGAAGCACTCCCTGCAGCTTTTCCTTATATCTGAAATCTGCCCAAGACCAGTGCATGAGGCCCCTATGTTTGCAGTTCTGAAACAGCCTGCAGCACAGTCCAGCCATGAGCTCTCAAGCAAATATCTCTACATGCTCTGACCTCTTGACAGGCCTACCTGGTGCTTTCAGGGAATTGGAACCACTGATTGACAAGTCCCTAATATGAGTCCTGGTACAGGTCACAGCCCTGGTCATAGCCTGGGTTGTGCCATGAGGCACAAGACACTCTAGTAAAGGGTCTTCCCTGCCTTGGAGGTTCTTAACTGGAAGCTCAGAGGTCAAAAACAGCTCAGGATACATTAGGCTTGTGCAGCATTTAAATTTTTTTAATTCAAGCCAAGTGCGTGCTTACATGCCTATAATCCCAGGGACTTGGGAAGCTGAGGCAGGAGGATCTCAAGTTCAAGGCCAACATCAGCAACTGAAAGAGACCCTCACCAGGGGCTGGAGTTGTGGCTCAGTGGTAGAGTACTCACCCGTCACGTGCAAGGCCCTGGATTCGATCTTCAGTACCACATAAACATAAATAAATAAACTAAAAATATTGTGTTCAACTACAACTAAAACATAAATGTTAAAAAAAAAAAAAAAAAAGAGGCCCTCACCAATTTAGCAAGACCCTTTCTCAAAATAAAGAGGACTGGGGATGTGGGTTCAATTCCTGATTTTAAAAAATTATTTTTGTTTCTAACATTTAATCTAATTAAAATTATGTAGGATTCCTTTAGAGTTGATAAAATTGTTTCACATACATATACACGTACATGCACACTGTTTTATTCATTTATTTTTTCTCCCACAGTGCTAGATTTGAACCCAGGATCTCATACATGCTAGGCAAGCTTTCTACCACTGAGCTATAATCAGCCCAACTGGTCTATATTTTGAGAGTAGAGTTGGTTTCCTTGGTAGATACATTTGTTGACTGTATATTTAAACTGTGCATAGTTTGTGTGTGTAAGTTTATTGTACCTAATAAAATAATTATTATTTAATTATTATGCCTTAATAAAACTGATTAGGAAAAAATTCTAGGTTCCCAGCTTCTTTTAAAAAAATATTGGAAGATCTGGCAACTCTAGGCCCAAAGGGCAAAAACTGGCATGGGCAATTCCCTCTAACTCTTCCAAATGTCTCCCTGCTCCTAGGGTAAGTGTTGGTTCCACTGTTTTTCCTATACCGTATCCACTTCTCTCAATTCTGTTACCTGTTCACTCCTTCAGGATTTCAGGACACCAAGTTTTGTCCTTTTAATGGTAAGTACATAGCCCAGCACCTGACATGTGGTAAGCACTTAATAAAAAAATTGCTAAGCTGCTATTACCATCATCACCAACGTCATCAATGTGGCCCAGAACCTCTGCTGAACAGATAACTCTCCTTATCCCTTTTCTACAGACTCTGTCCTAACACCCATGTAGCTGGGGAAACTAGAGGCATTATCACAGATCTCCTCTTGTTTCACCCCACCAATAGAAAGAGACCTGTACACACTGTCCTTTGGCAGACCTTGTTGGGCTCAAATCGTCCTCTCCCTCCCTCCTTCTTTAGCGTAGGCAAACATGTGCGCATGCATCTGCACCCACACACATACAACCACAGCTGGCTTCTGTCTTTAGGACTCAACGTTCTGGTCCCTACCTTGTCTGTTCAACCAGAAAAAAACATTAGCGACCTCAGGTACCATTCTAGGGGACTGAAGCACATGAACAGCTTGACCACGTGATTCAGGAATACTCCTGGCTGAGCCTGAAGCTGTCTTCCCTGAGAGAGCACCTGGCTTCTAGTAATAATCTAATTCATTGCTACAATCAAATGAAGTGCTACTGAGAACTTCAAAAGATTTGTGGAAGACCTTTACAAAGTCCTGGCATAATTTTCAAATTTAACAGCCAATGCCAGGATTTAATTCAATTCCACATATGATTACTATGCTCCTAGGCTCTTAGGAAACACAAAGAGGGTCTTCAGAAAGTCTCCATAATGCAGTTGTCAGCACTGACAATGTGTTAAGTAGCTGTGTCTGTGTCTCTGTTCACTGTCCAAACACTTCCTGTAAGACCACCCCTGGGAAGTAGAAGCTTCAGGGTAATGGACAGATCAGTAGCTGACATTCCCATTGGGAGGCTGGACCTACATTTGTAGATAGTTATTAATATGTGTATTAAATACAAGGATCAGAGAAAGGCCAATCTAGTGCCAGTGGGGCAAAAAAGACAAATGTTGCAAGAAGTTAGAAAAAAATTCTGTGACATCCCCCCATCCAGAAATGACTAATATTTGCAACATGTAAATCAATAATAAAAAGGCAGAAAAACAAAATAGAAAAGAACAAAAAGGACATGAACAGGCATTTACTGAAAATACAAGGTTTTTAAACATAAGAACAATGTTTACTCTTTTAGTAAAAGAAATATAGAATAAAACCACAAGATATAACATTCTGTCTACTTTTGGTTATGTTTGAAATTCTCCTTAATAAAAAGTTTGAAATCATTTTATGAATTCAAAAAGAGCAGTTAGCTTTAAGAAACATATAACCAATCACTTTTCTTGAATATGCTTCAAATAAACCATTAAAAATTTAAAATTGTAATATAATCTGGGTTGGGGTTATAGCTCAGTGGTAGAGCACTCACCTATCATGTGCCAGGCCCTGGGTTCCATCCTCAGCAACACATAAAAATAAATAAATAAAATAAAGGTATTGTGTTCAACTACAACTAAAAAATAAAATATTTTTTAAAAATTATAATCAGGAGTCTGAATACTGACTTTGGTAATATTACCAAAGTCATATTCAAAGTATAGTATTGTAATTATGCTTTTAAAATAGTCCTTATCGTTTAGATATAAATGCTGAAACATTTATGAGAGACATTGTTCAATGTCTCATATTTGCTTCAAAAGTAATCTGGAGGGGCTTGGGTTGTGGCTCAGTGGTAGAGCGCTTGCCTAGTATGTGTAAGGCACTGGGTTTGATTCTCAGCACAAACAAATAAATAATTAAAATTAAAGGTTTATCCACAACCAAAAATATATATACTAAAAAAGAGAAAAAAGTAATCTGGAGAGATAAAATGGGTGGGGAATCCATGAACTAACATTGATTTCCTATTGATGGCTAAAGCCAAGAGATGAACTCACAGGTCATTATCCAACTGGTCTTCTGTATCCATGGGTTCTACTATGAGCACTTAATCAAACTCATATTGAAAATATTCAGGAAAAATTTGCATCTGTACTGAACAGGTACAGATATTTTTTTCTTGTCATTATTATTAACTGGTCCTATATCCTTGTTTCTTTAAACCAGATAGTATAACAACTATTTAAATAGCACTTATTAAGTATTATAAGTAATCTTGAGATGATTTAAAGAATACAAGAGGATATACATAGGTTATATGCAAATATTATGTTATTTTATATAAGAGAGTTGAGCATCTGAAGATTTTGGTTTCCAAGGGGTTCCTGGAACCAATCCCTCATGGATACTAAGAGATGACTGTAATAATCTCTATTTTTATAAATATCTAAAGTTTTTCATACTAAAATATTCAAAAACATGCACATAGTAAGATCTCATTTTGGGGGCTGGGGGTTGTGACTCAGTGGTACAGCATTTGCCTGGTAGATTCGATCCTCAGTACCATAAATAAATAAATAAATAAATAAATAGTATCCATCCTCAACTAAAAAAGTATTTTTTAAAAATCTGATTTTTTTAGTCATCAGAGAGAAAAAGAATCAAAAAGTTGGGTAATATGCTGTGTTAGCCAATGTAGCATCAATAAGCATTCCCATATGTTGTGGGAAAAGACTAAATTGTTGGTTTTTGTTTGTTTTTTGGTGGTATTGGGGATTGAACCCAGGGCCTTGTGCATGTGAGATAAGCACTCTACCAACTGAGCTATATCCCCAGACCTAAGACTAAATTAGAATAAATTCTTTGAAGATCAGTTTGACTTTATTGATACAAATTTACCCTTCACTACTAGCAGTGTATCATACCGATAAACTCACACTTGTATTCAAAGACATACATCTATGGAGAGTCACTACATCATTATTTATCATAGTTAAAAATCAGAAAAAAATATAAAGAAACAAGGATATAGGACCAGTTAACAAATTAAGACATATTCCTCCAAAATGGAGTACTCTGCAGCTTTAAGAAATAAGCACAAGGAAATTTTCTAGGCCTAGATATAAAACAATGCCCCAATTACATTAAGATTTAATGTGAACATTACATTAAATAAAATACATTAAGATTTAATGTATTTAATATATCAAGGCCAGATCAAAGTGAATAACATTTGGGAGAAAACAAAACAAAAAACTGAAGGTGAGGTTTATAGGCAGACCCCATATCTAAAAGGACTAAAAAGAAACTGGTACTTGTGATTGCTTACAGAGGTGAGGGGAGTTGTTCTGGGGACTCGGAGATTGAATAGGAGGGAAATATATACTCTTTATACTATATGAGCAGTCTCCTGTTTTTGTTTTTGTTTGTTTGGTTGGTTGGTTGGTTGGTTTGGTTTGGCTTGGATTTTGAGGGTATGGGGAGTTGGTGTGCTGGGGATTGAACCCAGGAACTTGAATCATGTTTTCTTTACCATGTACATAGTAATTTTCCTTTTGAAACTATTAATTATGTTTATTTTATTAGATTAATGGATTTTCTTTTTTAAAGCCAAGGTTGGTTATCAGTGGCAAGGGCCACTGCAGGGGTCTGATCTCCCCTGCAGGCCAGGCTCTCAGGGGAAGTCCAGGGCAGACAGCAGAAAGCTGGGGGATGGGAAAGCTCTGGGAGGGGCTGCAGAGTACAGAGGGGAAGGGATCAGCAGGGTGAGCCCTGGCCTGGCTGGGCTGTGAAGGAAAGTACCTTCCTATCCTCCTGTGTCAGCCTTAGTAGCCAACAGGGTCAAGCGCAAACCCTTTTAGACCCCAATTCATCCCCTGGCTCCAGGCTGTCTGAGTGCTACTAAGTGGCTGATCCTCATGTGCCCAAATAGGGTGTCCCCTCTGCACACCTCACCCCTCCACTCCCTCCCACACCCCCCACCAGAAGCCGAGCTTCCATTAACCAGCAGGTTTGATTATGCAACCCTTGGGAACAGCCACTCCCAGAAATGCCACCCTCCACCCCCAGGCTCCAGCTCCTGCCTGTTGTCCCCCATAGGTCACTGTCAACACTCATCTCCCCACAGGCAGCTGCACACTCCACCTACTCTGGGACAAAACACACAGTTGGGGACAGGAAGGGGGGATGGGTTTTTGAGTAGGGCCTGTCATAGGAAACTAAGCACTACCCACCTGTTTCCATCCCAGGTGAGGAGCAGAAAGAGGCCCAAAGAGAAAATAAGTGCAGGAGAAAGTACAGAAGCTTAATGACCTTCACTCCCTATCTGCCAATTTGTCCCTGACCTCTGGATTGCTTGGAACTGCCCAAGGTCTCACAGTTTTGGCTAGGGCGCTGCTTCTGCCTTTCCCTGGGAGAGCAGCACTCAGTAGTCTGACCAGAAATCTATCCATGACCTCTATGGTTCTAACTCTCCTTTCCCCAATCAATGCAACACACATGAGGCACAAGAAAGGGACACCATCTCTCCAACTCTCCAAACCCTAGCTGCCTGGCCAGTCTCCCCACCAGTGCCCAGGCTTCCCTTCCAGCCAGGGAAAGGAAGCAGGAACCAACCTCCTCGTGGCTGTCAACCAGGCTGCCTTTTCTCCAAGGAACACTCCCTTGCATGATGAAATCCACCACCTTTGAGTTCTGGAACACAGCCCCCACCAAAGCGATGGCCCTGTCCACAGCCACCACCATCCTGAAGAGAGCTTCAAGTTTGGCACCATGCTGGGCACCATCCTGTCGCACAGCCTTCACCAGCTCTAGGACCTCAGTCCACCCAGCCTGTGTGTCAGCTGGAGGGGCACTATCAGCCGCCCCTGGGCCCAACCCTTGGAAGGCCTCCAGCCGGTGCAGGCCTTGCTCTAGGTGGCCCATGCCTTGGCACACACACTGTAGCTTCTCTGTGACATCTTCTTGGAAATGCAGGAGTTTGTCAACCTTCTCATTCAGCATGTTAAGCTTTTTGTCCATGGTGGTTAAGCAGGCCTTGCCCAACACTGGTAGACCCCGGGGTTCCAAACTCTCCTTGGAGGCTCCTGACATCCCAACTCAGGCTTGACAAGGGCAAGGATGAGGAAATGGAAGGGCCACAGACCTCTAGTTCTCACTTCAGCAGTAGTTTCTGGAAGTTCATTGTCCTTGGTAGCTGACAGCCTTGCCCTGTAGCACCAACCTGCTTGGACTGCCTGGGCTGTTTGGGGAGCCCAGAAGACCAGGTTTTCTCTGTGCTTTTGCCTTGTTTATCTCCCTCTCAGCCATGGGCTGTGACAGGCTGAGTTTGGCACAGGCCTTTCTCCTTGGGGCCCCTTTGACATCATGGCAGTGTTTAACATTCCTCTCTGAGAGGCTGCTGACGGGCAAATATTTTAAGAATCTGCCCAGAGCAGGCAGGGTTTTGTGTAACTGAAGCTAAAGACTGAAAGGATCCTTTAGGTAATGTACCTGTCAGATGAACTTGACAAGAGAGCTTTAGGGATTCCAGGCACTGAGGAGATGGGGTCCCACCTGCCACACATATATCTAACTCACAGTAAAAAGCAAGATCAAAACAGAAAGAAATCTGAGACCATTCAAGCAAGTTCTGACTTTTACCATGATGAAAATTTTGATGATTTTGCAAATTAAAAACATATTTTTGGTGTTCCTACTTCACTAATGCCTAAAACATGTACTTAGACTGCTCGTAGGATGAATTTGCAGGTTCCTCCTTACATGGGGCTCTCAGTCACTAGTCATTTGTATCTAAAAATAGAAGTGAGGGAAAATGGCCTCGGCTCCTCACCCAAGTGCAAACCTATAGGTTGTGTTCCTCAGGTGACATTTATCAGTGATCTCCCTGACATCCCAATAAAAACGATGTGGTACCAGGTACCAATGTCTAATTGACAAAGATTCAGTAGGGCCCTATAGAGCAATGAGGACTATGTTCCCTCTGGTTTCCAAATCTTTTAGCCTCAGAAACCCTTGGTTTGAATGAAATTTTTGCAGAAGCATCAACAAATAAAGCAGACACGTAGAGTTGCTCAGGATGTCATCGAGATGGGGCACAAGGTACCAATTCACTATCTAAAGGACACCACAGAGGAGTCTTGAGTTATACCTTTTTCATCTAGAGAGGGAAATGTGTACAAGGTCACCCAAGCACAAGGCCTCCTTGAGCATAGGTCAGCCATGGTCAGTGAAGCACCAAGGGAGAGAGGGGCTTTAGTGTTCCTCACAACTTCCCGCTCTTGAATAAAAGCCAAGATGATATACTCTGACCTGGAAATGTGATTTACAAAAGCACCATGAGATGATTTTGCTATTTTAAGCCACAAGTTACCTATCAATACCATGTTCTTGCTATAAAGATGCAGCTTGACCACAGCTCCCTCTCTATTCATCCTTCTCCTCAGATAACTGCCTGGAAGCAGCCTACACAGAAGTCCAAATCCATTTCTGGGGGCAGACCTCAATGTCATTTGTGGAATGACTCTGGAGCACACTCAAAAGAGTGTTGGTCTGCTCTATCTGCTGTGATTAAAAACACACACACAGCCAAGTGTGATGGCTTAATCCCAGTGACTCAAGCAATTTAATGAGAACTGGTCTCAATTTTTAAAAGTAAATAAAAAGGGCTGAGGATGTGGCTTCGTGGTAAAGCACCCCTAAGTTCAATCCCTAGTACCAAAAATAATAATAATAATTTAAAAAAACATAAACAAAGTGTCCTTGAAAAATGAAATTTGGAGAATACCATGCTCTAGCCCCTCTAAGACCTCTGTTTCCAGAGAAAAGGCATCAGTACTGGACCAAGGACCACTCTTTTCCTCAATAATTTAGACTTACTACTTCGCTGTGGAACCAGTGTTCTCTAAATCAAACTTTGGGAAATGGCTGCCTAAAGAAATCTTTGGAAGTCCATCTCCCCAGGCCTCCCCATTGCTTCTTTCTAAGTTGGTGACACTAATTTTTGTGAAATAAAGTTCTCACCAGTCTGCACAGAGAGTTTCCGCCAACACATACCACAGGCTGCTGCATCATTATCTCTGCTTTGGAAATCTTTGGAATAACCTGCAAGTCCAGGGTTAATAAAACCCTGGAAAGATGAAACCAAACAATCCCAAAGGAAACAAGCAAATGCGATAGACAGATAGATAGATAGATATCATTCAAGTTACAGAAGAATTCACCCCAGGTCTCCCATAAGCAGCAGTTTTACATAGTAGTTTATTTACTAGAAAGGGGCCTCAGCCATCATCCACTGTTCCAGACCACCTTGAAGCTCCCTGAGGGCAGAATGGCACTTCTTCAGCTTGCCTTGTATCCTCAGACATGCCAGTGTGCCTGATGTATGGCAGGTATTCAATACAACTGTAAAGAAGGAATGAATTAACAAGGCCACAGCAGGAAGCACCAGGTTTAGCTGACCATGGGAGATTTCTGTGGGAGTGGGCAGCAACTGGACTTTGCTAGAACAAACAAAAGAAGTACTTGGCAGGGTACCCTGGCAATTCCCAGAAGCAAGCTCTGGGACCTTCTGGGAGGAAGCTTAAAATACACCAACAGAAGCTCTTAAGCCCTCTTTGATGAGAAGGAGTAGCCAAGACAACCAGCTCTGAATCCCTTTCAGAGCTCAGCCTACAAGGAGAAATGAGTGTGTGCACATTGAGTTCCCTGAGGGCTAAAGCACGGCTTCTTTCCAACTCTCACTGATGTATAGGACACACCAAGTACCCCACAATGGTACCTGCCTGGATAACAGAGGGATTCTACCCTCTAGGCAAGAGAAAGACCAGAGAAGAGGCAACCGTGCTGGATTTATACAGAGTATCAAATCCACTAACACTTAGTCCCTCCAGGGTGAAGGCAGGCCTGCTGATCCACTCCTGGAAAAAAGGCTGACCTCTTCTTGCCCCAGGGTTGGGTTAGTGTGAACCCCAAGATTCTTCCCTGCTCTTTTGTTGACCTATCTTGAGGCTGCAGAAGTGAAAGAGAGTGCAACATTTTCATTTTAAAGTGATATTAAGACTGACTCGGGTAAAAGACTGATTTCCCATATTTATCTCCTTCCCTTGAAGAGATCTGATTTAAGTGGTAGTAAAGTAAGACAATAAATACAGGTCCCCAGTGAGAAAGAATGGAAGCGGAGCTCTTGTTGAATGAGTGTTATTTGTGAATTTCTGGAAGATGGAAAGCTTTTAGGGGAGAGGTAACTGGAAAAACCAGAAAAAGAAAATCACAGCCTCACTGGGCACATGGCAAAAACAGACAAATGTAGAGCCAGCTTGCCATGTAAAACCCCAGAGAAGTCTATGAACCTTGAGAACCCGGGTGGAGTAAACAGGAGCAAAAATGCAACTCTGAGACATATTCCTCTAGTCCCTTCCTCCTTCCCAACTCCTCTGTACAGAAGGGGCATTGCCAGGAATCACTCCCACCCACCCCACTCCCCCTGAGGACCAGACTCTGTTTCTGGAGGAGCTCAGTGGCCCAATGTAACAATACCTGTATGAACTAGCACTGGGGGGTCCCTCTGGAGTTCCCTACTTGACCAAGCTCAATAGAGCCAAGCAATCAACAAGCCTCAACTACCCATCCAGTTTTTAGTACCTTATTCTGAAATATGCACAGATAAAAAAAATCACAATTATTAAAAGAAAGACACCAAGATGTAAGATTCCAAGACAAGTAAACAGAACCATAATCCTGGAGGAAACAAAAAAAAAAATGAGAAATAGAAGTTTCAAAAAGGTCATCATTTATAGTTACAGAAAAATATGAAAGGCTATTCCATCCAGTAAAAGAGGATGCTATGGGGGCTGGGGATGTAGCTCAAGCGGTAGCGCGCTCGCCTGGCATGCGTGCAGCCTGGGTTCGATCCTCAGCACCACATACAAACAAATGTGTTGTATCCACCCAAAAACTAAAAATAAATATTGAAAATATTTAAAAAAAAAAGAGGATGCTATGGGGGGGTGTGGCTCAGTGGTAGAGCACTCACACAAAAGAACACTGGGTTTGAATATCAGCACCACATAAAAATAAACAAATAAAATAAAGATATTGTGTCCATCTATAATAATTTTTTTTAAATATTAAAAAAGAGGATGCTACAGAAGAAAGAACCGTGTAATGAATATAAGAGAAGTCTTGGAAATTAAATATGAGTCATAAATCCCAAATATGGATTGGGAAATAACCTAATATCCTAGAAAACAGAACAAAAAGTTAAGATATAAACATAAGAAAATATGGTAGACTATGAATCCAGCTGGTCTCACTTCTAATTAGTTAGAGTTTCAGGAATAAAAATAAGAGAGAGGAGGAGGGCATTTATCAAGGAGATACTACAGTAATTTTAGAATAAGGGATAAAGAAAAGATTATAAAAACTTCCCTAAAACTAATACAAAAGAACTGAAATCAGAATAATATCAGACTTCGTATCAAAATATTTCTCCTCTGAATTTTAAAGACATTGCACCACTGTCAGAGGACAGAATGATTTGAAAAGATGCATAAAAATGCTGGGCATGCCTGTAATCCTAGCAACTCAGGAGACTGAGATAGGAAGATCGCAAGTTTGAGGCCAGCCTCAGCAAATGAGCAAGGCCCTTCACAACTTAGTGAGATCCTGCCAAAAAATAAAAAGTAAAAAAGGCCTGGAGATGTAGCAACCCTGGGTTAAACTCCCAGTAAAAAGAAAAAAAAAAGGCATAAAAAATGTGACTTTTTCTTTCTTCTTCTTCTTTTTAATGCACCCTAAGGAAGCTGCTTTGAGGATGTGCTCCAGCAAAAGAAGGAAGTAAGAAAAAAATCAGTATACAATATAACTAAAGATATATGTAGTAAATATTAAGATCAAGGAGCTTAGAATAAGACTGTCTGAATTTAACTCCTGCCCCTGCCTCACTAGAATTATGACCAGGATTTACTTAACTTCTTCCAAGTCTGCTCTTCCTATTCTGTAACATGAAAATAATAATGGTAAATACACTTCACAGAGTTGGCAAGAGAGTTACATGAGAATGCTTGTAAAGGCACCTAGGCCATCAGCATGGTGATGGCAGAAAGGGCAAAGAGGAATATAAGGAATTAGAAACTCCAAGAAAATCAGAGTTTTTACAAGAGAAAATAAGATTAAAGCACAATAATTCATTTCGTAATGAATATTTGTATCATAATAAAGTAAATGGTTTATTAAGTGAAAACAATCGCATATCTATTGTGAGTTGGGAAGTATGAAAAAGGTTAAGTCTTCATTTATCTGAATAGGAAATCCACAGATCGCATACAGAATT